TATTTTAACGCGATTTAATGCCATACCGTTAAGTTTATGTGATAATAACTCATAAAATATACGATTAACAACCAGCGTTAAGAGTTTCCAAGAAGGAAAAAATGTCAAAAAAGTTGATGTTTCCATTTTCGAAAGTAAAAAAAATTATCAATAACAAGTTCATTCGCTTCTTTTTGATTTTTTTTTGTATTTATTTTCTTCATTTCTGTCGATTGCTGTGCCTTCTGACAAATGTTACAATGTCCAAAAGGAAAAAGTCTATAAATAAAATTACGCCCGTGAATCAAGTTTGGTCGTCAAATCGATCATTCAGAAGGTCAACAAGTTCTGTGATGATTAAATAAATTGTTTTAATCTATCCCAGCGATAATAATTCAACTTACATTCACATCACCACAGCCCCATGTGCCAGAATTATTTTGCATTTGATGACTCTTGGCTAGAGAGCACATTTACACGGAACTTAAAAATGTCCTATGGTACAGTGTCATAATCTCAGTAAATCACAGTTCTAATTTCTATTATAATTGGTTTAAACAGTTTCGCCTGAACGACGCCGTTCAAAACAATGGCTTTTAAAAACAAGCAATTAATGGTTGACATTTGTGACTTGTTTTTCACGGAGAAATCCATTGTTGTAGGTAATTCATGAATGTCTCATAAAATCTCCACGAAATAATTTTATTCATTGACTTGTCATTGAACGTGCGCCATCATAGCAAATATATTCTTTAGATGCTTGCTTGCTTTCATCGCTATTGTTAACTCTTTTTAGTGTATGAATACAATTTGGATCGTTGGTGCGCATCTAGCACGCAAATTAATTATTTATTTTGCAATAGACCTGATTTTTTTTGTTCCCTTTTCATTCTCACTTTATTCTATTGCTGAGTTAGTAACGAACGATGACACATAAAATAGGTGATAAAATGGAATGTTAAATGAAAGATGTATTTTCTTAGGGTATATTTTGAACAACGACACAAACGACGATGAGGAAAAAAAACTGCACGAACAAATTCAAATAAGAGAAATTTATCTTGTTCATGAATGTGTAATGTAAAAAGCAGAGCTGTAACAGTATATATCATCGGCGTGTGCACAGTTTTATTACCAGCTCTTTTTCGGTTTTAACAACATCAACTTTAGGTTTTTATTATTCTGTATCGCCTCTTTAAAGACGGAAAAATACTCATTTCGCCTTTCATAATACATTCTTTATTAAATTAAACAATATAATGTAAGACATAATATGCATCATGCTAGAGGCTTCAAACCAACAAAAATACGCGTACACACATTCCCAACTTGCCTCCCATTATGAAGTGTGACATCGAGTGAGAATGAGAAAGAGACATAGGCAAAGTGAGAGGCAAACTGAATGAGCCTGAGTGTATTTTTTTATTGCGCATATATTTATCCGAAGACATATCAGCGACAAAACAGGTCGACAAGGCAGCCAAATGCACGTTCTTGTTGGCATTGCCAGTCTTTCTCTTTTTTTTTTATAGAATTTTTGTTTTGTTCATCTACAATAACAACATGAGAACGAAATATATTAAGAAGAGAGCCGGTAGAGATAACGTCCCGTGATACAAATTTGTATTATGTCTGTTTTAAAAAAAGAAATTTGGTAACAAAAAAGAAAATAAACGTTAAAATGTATGTGCTGCTGCTTAAGAAATGATTTGCATGTGGATTTTCCTTTCTTCTTTATTTTCGTCGTTTCTGTCGCACAACAGCATATTCTGTGAAAACCGCATCATGCGAGAACGTTTGAATCCATGCGAGAACATGGTTAGCCAAAAAGGAAAAGAATATCAACAAAAAATCCCGCCGCCGACATTTTCTTATATATACATAGGAAATTAGTGGAAATTGTATTCAAAATTTTCAAGTAGACCTAAGTGAAATAATTTAAAAGCAGATGTTTTAAGCAAATTACGAAATTATTTGTAGCACATTTAAAATATAAAAGAAAGAAAAGTTTTTATAAAAAAATGTTCATTTGACGACATTAAGCTTTTCACTTTTATTTTAAATCTGAATAGTGTTTAGTTCACGAAAATCCATTAGAATTTGTTTTGCACACGGTTTTAGCTTAATTTTACAAAGCATTTTCATGAAAATGAGATATCACATAATTGCGTGATCACATCTCTCTCTCTCTCTCTCTGCTCAAACCACCATTGAATTTGTTACACTCTTATATTATCTGAATTACCGTAAAGTGTGCTTTAAGGGATTTCCTACAAAGAGAATTTTAAATGATGGTGCAGATCATTTCACTTAACCTTGCTAGGTTGTGGCCTTTGTTTGTATGTTTTTATTATTATTCGTTCGTTTTCAAAAAAGTACACTGATTTGATGAAAATTGTTCAAGAACTGAGTTCACTCGAAACCCGAACAGATTCAACAGACAACGTTTAACACACGATGCGGAAAAACGGTAAAAGCCATCAATACCAAACATACATCGAAATTATGAACAAAACACACAAACCCTTAACTTGTTGTACGGCAAAATATTTTCCATTGTCGTCATAAAAAAAAACTCGACCCATTTTGTGCCACATATGAGAAAAGTTTAAGAGATTTTTGTTATTACTGCTCTTTTTCCGGTTTAGATATATTTACACATTCTGCTGTTTACACATGTATGTTTAAAACTATGCTGGTTTATGATATGTTTTTTTGAAGCAGTTCAGCAAGAGCAGTAGCTAAATGAATTCCGACAAAGCAAAAAATTGTCAAAAAACCTCACGAACAATTTTGATTTTTAACATTTGATAATATTAATAAAAGAGTGGAATGATTAACCCCAAAGCAATATCTCAACTTCAAAACCATAATTTTCATTCGAAATCATAAACGCATGGCAACCACATTGTTCACATTTTATTTTAAATTTTTCGGTTTCTCTCTCTGTGTGTGTTTTTTCCAAATGGATTGCGTTTTGTCAACAACATGCTATACAATGTTTATCGAAAAAGTTTCAACGATTCTCAATTTTTGTCTCGATTATTTAAACAATGTAAGCAAAATATTAAACAAGGGTGTGGAACTTGAATCATGATTCAATATGTATATTACGTGCTTGTGATTTTCAGCAAGTATGATCCATGAATTAAACTAATAAAAAAGTTCATCATCGATTATTTTAAATATAATGAGCACTTTACTTACACCTTTTTTGAATGTAATATAATAAATCTCTGCAATAATTTTGGCCAATTACATCCAATAATTACATCAAATTTCACTTGCTACTGAGATTCGATGTAATGATAAATATTTATTTTGAATCTCTTGTTACACTCATCCAACGATTTTATGCCATCTGATCACTTTTAAAACACCGGCATCGAATGTCGCAAAAAATATCAAAAACAAAACAATGCTCGCAGACACAAACACACAAATTATTTGAAATGATCGAACAATTTTACAAATATGTTGTATAAACTTGAAACGGTAGTAAAATGTTAATTCCGATAAAAATTCAGACTCGTTTTGTGGGAAACTTATTCAGAGCGTGTGAACTAATTTCGCGTTGGAGACGACTATACCGTTAAAATACAACTGAAACACTGGAAATCGAAAAAACCGATCAATGCGAAATTACAAAAAAAAATTAACAAAACAAGAATCGTACACCGAAATAACGAGACAAAAAAATGCACATGTAAACTGTAAAGTAAGCCAATCAACAAAAAGACGAAGCAAAATATTCAACAGCACGATTAAAGTGCCACATTCCGAAAAAAATGCTCACGTACAAATTGTATTATTTGCTTTTATTCAATGCAAAGAGAAAGACATCTGTATACGCATTGAAAATATGCATTCGGCGAGTGAGTAAACGTGCGCTCGCACCCGTGTGTGATACCGAAACGAAACGAGATAATCGACTTTAACAGCTTGTCATCAATCTAATCATTAAATTGAAGATAATTTACTACATAAAACGGCAGTTCAGTCTGACTGACTGTAGCACTGGTTAGTACTTAGCATAGCACCACACTTGTTGTAGGTTGCCGTAGCCGACCGTTGCTCGTCCGATTGGTTTTTTTAAGAAGCGCGCGGCGCGAAATTCGCAATTTACTACCATATACTATACTGTTGGGTTTTTGATCCAGTGTAGCAATAACAACGCAACTCGTCCAAGTGTTTCAGTGGCCAATGACCAAGCGTAATTTTCCACTTGATCTTCGATACTTTTTGAAGAAAAAAAAGAAACAAACATGATATAGGTAAAAGTTTATTCTGCACTACAAGTATCAAGCTTCCATTTTGAGCTATTAATAAGTGAATTTTTCTAAAGGTATGCGTTGCCCGTAGTGATAATCGATTTTTCTATGTTTTTTTAAAGTGTCTTTTTCAACGAATCAGCCATATGAAGTATACCAACGATAAAAGTTATGAAATAGTATATTCAGCACGTTGTCGTAGGTGGGAAATTGATCTGAACGACCAATGCGAAAGACTATCTGGTCCGAATAACTAAAGGGAGAAAGAGAGGCAGAAATAAAGATACACAGAAGCACTTGATGTGATTTAATGCGATTGAAGAACTAATTTACGAACAAAATCTGATTGATCTTAATGGATGCAATGTTGCTTTTGCTTTTGCTTCGCGTCCACTTTGTTCGCTCTTTCCGTTCATTATTCAATCAAATCTTGTTCGAGTTCAATTCAATTTACCATCTTTGGGCGAAATAATAAAAAATCAAGTCTTGATAGCAAATGAATAGACTTTAAAGTTTAGTACTGAGCGAAAGGTACCAGTGTCAACTTAATGTGTGTACTCTCACATATTGTATCAATACTGTGACTGAAATCTGAAGAGAGAGAGAGAGAGAGAATTCATACTTATTGTGTAATGAGTAGTCGTTTCCATTCCTGGTTTTATGAACATGATTTGATGTCGGGCATCATAACGTTCTTAAATTGTACCACGTATGCACTTCAATCTATTTTACGCCACCATTGATTCGGATCGGACTCTGTGTGCAATAAAAATTGAACAAACGAGTATACATTTGAATGAATCACTCTATTTTATGTATTTTGCAGATATTCAATTCGCATAAAAGCTACACGCAGTGTAATTGGGCGCTTTATTTCCAAATAAACGATCCAACCGAATAGGTTTTAATGTTGGTTTTTTTGCACTCTCTCCATATGTGTGCAAAAATAAAAAGTGATTAGCTCGGTTTGTGTATGCGCACAATTTGAACTCGTCAATCAGGCGGTTTTTCATTGGTTTTTGAATTTGATTTGTTGAATCAAAGATTCAAAGAGCATTTTTTTTATTAATTCCACACAATTTAAACATGTTTCAAAATCTGTAATGTACGCAAAATTCAACGCATACACATGAAAATAAATAATTATGACAATTTTGTTGTGCGGTTATTTTTTTCAGCGCTCTCCTCATCTGTCAATGCATCGCAATTTAAATTGAACTTATGGTCACTGCCGTACAATGTAGTTACAATATATGTGACATATGTATACACAAAGGTATTTTAATTCAAGCGAATGGCCAGAGAGAGAAAGAGAGCGAGAGAACAGCGAAACCTGATATGAAATAATGGCAAAACTGGTACGACAAAAACAGAAACATTCAATATTTCGAATAGTATAAAGTATCGAATAATATTTACATGGAATTTCGCACATATATTATTGTTGTATTGTATTCATGGTTGGCGTTTCAATTGACGAATCCTATCGGCACCAGCGTTGACGGTGTCTTATTTCAAATTCAAGCGAGACAGACTTGAGTTTTTTTTCTGTCGCTGGAAAAATATAATTAAAAATGGTCCATTGAGTGTGGTGATCATTTTCACGTGCGTATAAATTGCTCAAATTGAATAAATGACGATCAAGTATCATATCCAATACAAATACGCTTCACGTAACGTAAGAAAAACTATACTACATGTAGTTCAATCCATCAATCAACGGCAGGTGACAACTGCCTGTCATGTTTCGTTAATAAATGCGCGTTTTTTCCCATTTTTTTTTTAAAAAAAAAACGTATATTTGCACGACAAGTCAGTGAGAAAATGTATACAGATCTACAATTACATCAAAGTTTACACTAAATTACTTTTATACTTCGACAGTAAAAACTATTTTTTCATATTATGTAATCAATTTTCATTCGAATCGTTATTGAAAATATCACTTGATCCAATTTCAATCATATGTTTGGTGAGTAATTTAATCGAAAATCATTTCAGGAGGTTAAGAATTTCGAAATTTCACTTTTCACAAATAATTGACATGAAAAAGATTTGTTTGATGTTTTGCCGCAAATGATGGCGCATAACATGATGCATTTGACGGATCTACAAGAAAATGGAGGGAAAGTAAACAGCGCTCAACTTTTGCAATATATTACAAACACAAAAAAGGTGCACGCAACACAATCGAGAATTAATCTTTACTTTGATCGACTTTGCGTCGGTTCTTTCGTTTTGTTTGTTTTTCATATTTTATTCAGTTTCTCATCAACTTTTCCATTTCCTTGTTCTATTCTCTGTGTTCTCAATCAAGTGCCAAGAGTCAACCACACATATGCATTCTGCTTATTATCTCTTCGTTTTGTGAACACTATGAAATGTGTGCCTGTCGTCTCGCAAAATATCTTCTGTGGTTCTATAAATGACGCAAACGATATGCTTTCTTTCGATCCTATTTTAGACACTTTCAACTTTTTTTGCCGGGATATACCTTCTTTTCGTTGTGTTAGAGGGATATAAGTAAACGTCATATCGAAATGATTATGTCAGACTCCTACTCGATTTCTATATACGTGTACTTTTATCTCAGTCATCAGTTTAAGTTATCGGTCGTTTCGACAACTTTCTGCATTCACTTTGTCGTGCATTCTTGCTTTCGACTCTTCTTCCCTTGCTCACGTTTTTATTCTTCTTTCACTGAAACAACATCTTTGATGCGTTTGAAATTTGGTTTTTGCAACACACATCAACGTCATCGAGTTTTATCGCTCAATGAAAGAAGAAAAATATATCGTACGACGAATAAAACTACCACACGAACTTTGCGATTTTCTTTTAATTTTCATTCTGGAGATTTCATCCCTTCTCTCAGCCAAGCTAAAACAGTAGCTTTCTGAGGAAGATTTATTGTGATGAGAAATGCACTTGTGCAATAAAAAACCCCATTCTATTCTTAGTACAAATTTCAATCAAAACATTTATCGTCATAGATAAAATGGCAAGGGAAAAGAATGACCGAAATCGTTTGAGTTTTCAATAAATTAAACAAAATCTTCACAAAATATTTTTTTTTTTATTCTTAAAACTAATGAGATTTCTTAAAATTATTTAATTTAATCGATTTTAAACAAGCGTTCAGAAAGACATACATTTATGCGAGCAATTGAATGATGCTTGCATCATTTGATGCGCATCGCTAGTGCTTTCGTTGTGCGTTCGTGCGATGCCGAAGATCCGAATGTATGGCGACAGCACAATCGATGCGCATCAAATGATGCAAGCATCATTCAATCGCTCGCATAAATGTATGTCTTTCTGAACGCTTGATTTTAAATTGATCAAGGTAAAGAGTGGATTCAATGAGCACAATTTTGGATTCAATGATTTGCAAATCAATAAATTGAATAAAAAAGAAAATTGGTTAGAGCAGAGATAAATCGATTTCAAAAAGTATCGTCTGTGTCATTGAGCCAATACACACATCAGCATGATATATTATTGATTTTGAAATTCGAATTACAAATTAAATACATTCAGCGCTGGCTAGCAAGTTTTTAGCGATTGTTTGTATAAATCAAGTATCTCGTTTTCAATCTTTTGTTTTTCTTTAATAAATCCTGGCACCGGTATAATTTACGACGAAATTGTTAAATGAATCGCACGATCATTAGCGTTGTTTGTATTTTCGATTGAAATTTTCCGAGTTTCGGCACAGTTGCAATTGCCAAATTCAAAATTCATAGTTGCAGAAAAATCAATATGAAGTAATCCATCCATTGAAATCTGAATTTCTCTCATTCGCTAAGCATTCAATCGTTACCCGATAAAAAGCAGTAGTGTTGCAATGAAAACAAATGAACGAACGAAAACTATCAAATATGGATATTTGGCTTGAATTGTGAATGTTATCCAAAGAATTTAATCGAATGGCGTTTTCCATTCCAATCTCCAATTTGTGAGCACAGAGCACACACACACACACACCCACTCACACACATTTCAAATATTATCATGCACTTGGATTGCTCTTGCATTTATTATCATCCAGTGCTCTTCTCTTTCACTCTCACTCGTTCCAGCTTTATTTACTTTTGCCATTCGCATTCCTCATAAAACAGTTCATTTTCACAGCTCGCACAGCATATATACCATCGCACACAATTCAAAAGACCAGCGTTCGTATTTCGGTTGGTAAAGTAATTTATATTGATAGTGTCATTAAGCAAATGATATCCATTAAGCAAATAATCTATTATATGATTGTTATTATTTTGTGTAGTTTGTATTTGCATTTCGATAAAATCCGATATGTGCATTTCGATGCACTTGCTCTTTTCGTATGTGCGTAAATGTTAGTGAGTTAGTGTATTTTGTAACGGCACGTTCGGTAGCAAGAGCTGTAGCGACAATTTAATTAATCGGTGTAATACATTAAGCTAACGATTTGCATAGAAATGCTGGTATTTATCTTTTGGCAGCGAAAATATTTGTTCGTTTGAATATAGTATAGAATGGCGCCATAGAAAGCAACAATATTATATTGCTTTAAGCACTTTTTCTTTTCTCTATCTCGTGTACAGTGTACAGCTAGTTGTTACAACTAGCATATGAGATGTAAATACCGAGATCATTTGTTTGTAATCTGTATCTCAAGCTGTTTGTAGAACCATTGTAATGAAATGTGTGCCCTCTCTCCTTTGGTCTCTTTAAATGAACAGATATCGTCATCTCCGCAAAGAAAAATAAAACAAATTCCGGCCGCCAGCAATGCAACCACCTTACACTCGGCGACAAATCAAACAACAGCAACAAAAAGAATGCTAACCAGACTAACGGATAGCTATTTGCCACCCACCATGCAAGCACTAGCTTATTATATTGAGCTACTTCAATACGAACCGGTGCACATGACGACAATTGAACCACCATTTACAATTGCATCATCGACACCAACATTTCCGAATCTATCACCAAGCACACCAAAGCCGCCACCATTTCAACAACCAGTAACTTGGTGGTCTCCACCATCGACTACCACGCAAAAAGCCACGACATGGTGGAGTCCACCATCAACAACAACACAAAAACCAACTACTACTTCGTGGTGGACAAATCCATCAACAACATCGTCATGGTGGACCACCACAACACAAAGACCTTGGTAAACACTTATTTACTTTAATAATTTTTATTTTCTGAAATGGACATATATGAATCGCTTGTTTTACAGGTGGAATCCACCCTTTGTTTCATCCGATTCACAATCCGAATCATCAACGACGACATCGACGACGACGACGACGAAAACAACAACAAAGACACCTCGTCCAAGCACAACAACGCCGTCATGGTGGCATCAAGAAACAACTCCGTTCCATAAGCCCGGCAACGTTCAGCCTGATTCACTTTTACCACGTCCAGCTAGTAATAGCGAATCAATGAGGGAGCCAAATAAAGCACCACAAATGGGCGATTTGTCATTTTTGAGCATATCAAGTTTTCCGCATTTCGAGTATTTTGTAAAACCGAATTCAAAATCATTTGTCAAAAAGCCAGAATATGAATATCTTCATCAATTTCCAGCCGAATTATTGCAAGACATTGAAAGTGAAGAACCGCACGAACGAAAAGGTAGCGATCTGGAAATTGCTAATGATTTCCGACGTATTTATGATGATTTCTTTGCACGTGTTCGTGTATTTTCACCAATTACTGGCAAAAAACGTGTGCCACCAACACGACCTTATGTGCTATTTTTGATCTTCTACGATTTGTGCAAACGTGAAGCGAAACGCTTAAATTTGCAAGAATTTACGGTATGTTTCACATCGCTTCATTCTATTGTCGTTTTTCTCTCTATCAAATACAAGTATTGAATTTTTCGATGTACACACACGTTTCAATATACAGGGTTACAGTCCAACAATGTTGGAAAAACTGCACGAAATATCAAAATACTCAGCCGAACGGCAAATGTTCACATTATTGGATGAGTTATACCAACAAAAATCTATCGTTTCCAACGATTTTACAATGCGAATGATGGAAATAATGACAGGTAAAAATTTATTTAGATTTGATATTAACCTGAACTTGACTTTGACATACCATTTCAGATCTTTCTAATCCAAATAGTGTAACGGCGAAAGCACTAAGAATTCTACCACCGCTCAAATTTGAGCCATAGTGAGCGTTAATGAAAAATAATTTACGATTAAAACTAGATACAAACTAAACAAACAAAAAAAATCGATTTTATAGATATAAGATGAATTTCCTTCCTTTTCCATTTCAACGCGACAATATTCAATACTATTCTTTAAGAATTGATAAACTCATTTGAATATTTTTTGTGTTGAACAGAAGAAAATGATCAATATTTTTTTTGAAGAATACAATTTACATAACTAATAAAATAGATTAAAAAAAAAGAATATATATGGTTTTTTTACTTTTTGTGTTTAATTTTTGAAGTTTTTCAATTGAAACGATAAATAATGCGGGGAAAATCATTCTCTATCTTTACAATATTAAATTTAATCAAAAATATCTTGTGCATTTTCATGCTTTCTTCTGAGCATTAAAATAATTTGGTATTTCACTAACTGCACGCCACGTCATACCAATCACCGTGCCAAATATCTCAAGAAGCAATACGGCGCTCTTCTCCCCAAAGCTTTTCGCCGTTAATTCTGTGTTGTCATCGTTCTCAAAGTTATTGATAACATTTTCACTCATTGATCCATTTGTTTTTAGCTTTTTATTCGGTACCATTTGAATATGACTGGAATTCGCATCAAGAAGAATTCCGGCAAAACGTGCACCGTCCAATAACTTGTCACTTTTCATTTCATTTGAATTGTTTTGTTCAAATTGCACGTTTTCAACTGTGACGGTGTCGATGTTCGCATCTTCCGTTGAGTCTTGCATATAATTTGAATATTTCAAAAATGCATTACGAAATGCTTCGGCTGCATCTTCTACACTATTTCTGTTTTTGAGAGTGTTGCGCGGTTTCTTGTCACTGCCATGGTGATCGTTGTTGTAATCAACATCTGGCGCACTACTTCGGTTTGCATTTACTTTGTTTGCATTCTCTTCTACCATCATTGTTGTCATCGTCGCTGTTGTTGTCGTTTTAATTGTTGTTTGCATAACATTTGTGACATTGTTGGATGTGTGCTGTGTAAGTGGTAGTGAAAAATTGAAATTATTGACATTGTTTTCGTTTGATTCCTTGTTCGTAACACTTGTGAAATTTGTTCGTATTTGTGGTTCGAAGAAATTCACGCGAAATATAGACGATGTATGGCCATTAATTTCATCGTTTTCATCAAAATCAGCATCGCTATTGCTCGCACCGTCTAAATTAAATCGTTGTCGTGTGAAATCCCAAGCACTTAAAAGCGGATTTATAAAGTATCGTGCAATGGTGTTACTTTGTGTGGTTTCATTGGATTCGATTGGTTTTGGTGTTGTTGTTATTCGACTGTATCCAATGGCGGCAAAAAGTGAATTTAAATATGTTTGTGATGCGTGCTCTATGCCATTATTTTCCATTTTTTCCTGATTATCATCCGTTGCGTCGGCAAATGCAAAATCAATAAATTGCCGATTTTCATCGTCCGAAAATCGAATATCTGCATTAAGTTCCATTGACTCGGTCAGGTCATCGGATTGTGGTTGTGCCATGCGAAAATTCGATTCACCCTCGTCTTTGATGACATCGCGAATAGTATCCAACCGGTCTTTGGTATTTTGTAAAAATAATCGAATCAATTTGGAGTAAGCTTGTCGTCGACGCTTCCTTGCCGATGGAGTCGTTGAATCTAATTGCAAATCAAAACCAGGAAACATATCAGGTTTATCGGCTCGCGAATCCGTACGTTTTTGTTTGCGAAAATCACTGATGTGACTTGACGGTGGTGTTGTTGTCAACAGACTCTTGAGGAAGTCATTCGTTGATTCGACACTTTGAATCCACTAAAAAAATCAAATTTTGCAGAATAAAAATTTACTCCATTAAAATGTCTGCATGTTTATTTATCCCAATTTTAAACTGAACACACTTACACAAAATGCAATCAACCAACAGATTAGAACAAATCGAATCATATTATATTATTATTTTTTAAATATAATTCAGAAAGTGTTTTGCTTCAAACTCTCAACAAAATACTGAATTAATAAAATAACTTTAAATCGATTCTTGTATCGCATAATTTTCATTCCAATAACATACTCAGTTTTATCGAATACAAATGGAAGTGGATTGGCCATTGTCATTTTTTCTTCTTCAAACAAGTGCCATGCATACAAATTATAACTTAAATAGAATAAATGAGTATTTTTTATGATTGCGTAATATAAAATCCGCGTTTGCTTCGGGCGTTTATTTATACATAATATACAAACGGAACAATATCATAACAATTTATAATCGAGTCTCGTGTTATCATCGCACGTAGATCAATTTTTGATGAATTTAGATTGAATGCGTACTGTTTACGTTCAGTGACCCAGATTTTAAGGCTTTGCTTGATTTTGATTCTATTTTTTTGTTCGTTTCACTCATGTGTCATTGCATTGAATTATACATTTCGATTGATATTCAGTAAAAACATCTGTTCAAATATGAAATCCAACCTTTTGTGTCTGATGGTCAAGGTCTTGAGTCCAACGAAAAATCAAGCCAAATTGATATTGTGAATTATACACATGCATGGTGCGTCATTATAGTGTTTTCAAGAAGTATCATTCACAATCTTAGTTTTAAATTCAAATTACTTCCGCTAGATGGCCCAATATGTGTGTACATACAAAACAAACATATCGCTATCAAACGTTAACTGGAATAAAATATACATACATTTATTGTGTTTGTGTTTTTTTTTCATTTTCGGTAGTTGATAAACCCTCTTTTATCTTAGAACGAGGATGTGTGACATTTTTATTCTAATTAAAATCATTATCGAATGTACATTTGTTTGTTTTCTTTCGCCAATATCGCTTATTTTCAATATATATTGCTTATGTAACATTTTAATTAATAATGACACTGTCAGCACTTTTCGTCGAATTTTGAAAAAAAAAAAAAAAAAAAATTTGATTACTGATAACATTATTTTCATGACCACAATCAAATGCACAATGAAAATAGTAGAATGAGAGAAGTAAGAAATATGACCCATCAAGGTTTTGGATGGTTGGAGATAATCTTGAACTGAATGGTAAAAGATAACACATTTTTGTTTTGTGTAATAAGTATATTTATTTTCCAGCAGATTGTAAAAATGGTTTACAGAAATTGCGTGCAAGCAGTGTATATTCAATGGCTGAATTAGCCGTCGTCCAGTTCAATACATATACACAAATCGATATCCATATAGATAATCGCAATGGAATTATAAAAGAAAAAAAAAATGGAACAAAATACACACTACCGCAATGCTAAAAATTATTTATCAAAGCCTGTAAGGGTGACCAATAAAAACAAATCGTAATCACCCATTTTTAATATGGCGATAGTGTTCAAAGCAAAAAAAAAAGAAGAACGGTAAATGTGTGTATGCAATTTAGTTGATGTATTGTACAATTGTTTTTTCGAGTTTATCGGGATTGGCGCCACTGAAGCTATCGACTTTTTTGCCATCCTTCATGAACACAAATGTTGGCATGCTGGAAACATCGAATCGCATGGCCAATTCCTCGCATTCGTCAACATCAACCTGACATTTGAAAAGAAAAACGCACATGCAATTAGATTATGAAATTTTCTCTTCTTCAAGTCATTTCAATATGCGATAAAAAAGAAAATTACCTTAAGGACGACAATGTTTGAAGCATATTGTTGTGCAAATTTCTCCAAAACAGGTGAAATTACTTTGCATGGTCCGCACCAACTGTACAAGACGATAAAATATGTAAATAAAATGACACAATGTACAAAAATGAAAATGTCGACTTTTGAAAAAGGCAAACACTTACGTTGCAAAGAAGTCAACAACGACTACTTTATCACCAGCATTATTAACTTGCTCATCGAAGTCAGCCTGTAAAGGAACAGAGAAATATACTTTAGTGAAGAAATAAGCAACATTAATATATCGATTTTAAGAAGAAGGTCAGACAAGATGAATCATTTCATCTTTAAAATGTATTCCATATTCGCATCGATGAGATGTAACAAGGTGAGATGACATTTGAAAAGGCACAACAAATGATGATTACATATTGGTTACGAAATAGAAAAAATGACTCATAACATTAATTTTTGTATCTGAGCTTTGTTGTTTTTTCTCTCTCTCTATAAATATATTGAGTTGAAACGAGTTTTCGAGAAGTCAACTCAAAGGCAGAAAATAAATTAATGATTTCTGAATTCTGAATTGTTGACTGCAGAATTATTAAAACATTTGTCGTGCATTTTTAACGTCGCTATATTTGGCCGATTTTAAAGCATAACAAAATACAAAATAAAAACTTGTTCTTTTTTCTGCACGTTTACGTATTGTATGACAACATGGTTATTAGATTCTTCATATGTCATTTTTTTCATCGAATTAAATTCCAAGTAGTGGATGATTACGTCATGCATGATACGGCAAGATTTCATTCCAGATAATTGATTTTTTATTTCGTTCGTTCTTGAAATAAAACAACGCAAACGAATCCGATTTAATTACGGCGTGAGAGAAAGAATGGTATGCGAAAATTGCACGGAACGTTGTCGTTTCAACAAAGCGGTCATCGCGCCATATTTTTTTTTTATTTTACTACAACATCTAATGCACACATGTATGTTAACAACGTAAAAGTGACTGAACAAAGCACAAAACACATTACAAACGCGCGTCCAATTTCACAAAAGATCAAAATGATTCTTGAACTATACATAACTTATTTAGTTTATTGTTGAAATGACAAAACATTTTTTATTTATACATACCACATCTTTAACTAAATGAACCATTTTGAAGTAGTTTTTTTTGGTTTTGGGTTATAATTCGAAAAATAAATTGAATACGAATGGAATATTTATGATTTGGAGAAAAAATGCTTCTCATACGACCGTGATCAAATACCGACTGATTTGTCCTAATACAATCATTTTGGTGGTGGCGACAAGCGGTACGACGCTGTCGAAATTTTTCAATGTCTTTGTGTGTACATGTGTTTTGACACGTTTATGTATTGCAATTCACATTTGTTGGTCAGTTCATGCTTTTTACCGCCTTTTGAATGTGACAATGTGACAGCAGTTGATGAAGTGACAGCACCAATTATGGTGCGTTCATATTCATGCTATGTTCATCGGTGATTGGTAATACACAAAAAGTTTCAATGTTCTTATCCAAATAAAAAATGTTATTTTACTTTTGGAATAGATGATTTTTTACAAATTTCTATCGAAAGATCGTCTGTCTAATCTCATGCGTGTTTTCAAATGCTTGATTTGATAAGGATTTGGAATTTTCGCTAAAGTAAGTTTCAGTATCATGTTAATGGTATTTATTCATTATATTCTGAAGTATTTTTGTAAAGAAATCAATAATTCGTAATTTTTGACGTGCTTTTAAAAATAAAATAATTCAAATTTAGTTGAATTTCCGTCAACCAAAATCCCAATGGCGAAATACCCAACGAAAATTATTTATATTCATCATTTGAAATGCGATACACAGTGCTGCCATCATGAAAATCGCTAAAAAAGAAAATCTGTTTCGGCGTCGCTGTATATAAGTTGATATTGAATTTTGAATAACAAAGTCTTATCAAATCAAACACAAACAAGGAGAATTCATTTCACAAACTGTATTTTGAATGCAAAATAGAAAAATACGTACGTTTAAATAGTAAAAATAGAATTTCCAAATTTTATTTTGATATGTAATTACCAATGAATCATCGTAAATTGATTTTTTGAATTTGTTTTTGTTAAGACATGATCCGATGATGACTTCATCAGCTAACGATTTTTCTTATAATATTAGGTGACCTTGACTATTCTTCAAGTAACACAAAAATGACTTATCATTTATTTTTATGAAGCAATTCCAATACAGACGTGATTTTCTGACGAATTTTGATTACATTTATTCTTGGAATAAACTATTTTTTTCTACCTAATCGCTTATCAACTCTCAGTTCAGTTAAAAATGTACGCAATAATTAAAAACAGTCTCTGAATTGAACTTTATTTACATCATCAAACTTTCAATAAAAGATCTGTCAGTTTATTAATATTTGAATGTTTTAGAATGAATGTGAAACTTCTCCCAACTTCGGAGAATTCGAGTTTTTTTTATATGACGGTGTTACACTTTAATGAAATGTCGGAGGAACTCTCATATCCATTCTTGGACATTGGACAATCAATTCATTGGAACTTCATAATGAATTTTTATAATATATAATTTACAAGGCATTAATCTTGTTTCGATCGAAGCAAAAGATCGTTAAGGGTTTTCTCAACCCGCTCCACATTACAAGTGGAATAAAATTGAATATTATCACCATTTTCCATGAAGGTAAAGGTGGGCGATGTTGTTGGCTGCACCAATCGTTCAACGACTTTCGGACAATTCTCGACATTTACCTGAAACGATTACAAAATCAAATTATTTCGATTCGGCTAAAATGATCGACCGTGTTGTATTTTTTTCTTATTACTTTGATCATATAAACGTCTGGGAATTTGTGAGGCAATTTCTCCAATTGGGTTGAAATCGCTTCGTTTTTCGACTCTTCGTTAACGAAAAACTTAACCACAACCAATTTATTGCCAGCATATACCAATTCGTCGTCGAACTCATCCTTGAAGGTCAATATTAAATTTTTATTAAACGAACCAAATTACTTGATTTGTGTAAGTTTATTCTTACATTTGTTTCTACGTGAATCCAGCTATTTTGAACGATTCTATCAAATTTAAATACATCAAAGCCTTCCATGAAATTGACCACTTCGTTTTTTTTAATGAAAACAAACGTTGGCGCTCTGACTACTTTGAATCGATTTACTAAATTCCGCAAATTATTCATTTGTTTATTTACCTAAAATTCAGATATTTTTGAAATCATGTCCAAGTTCTTTTTTACATTAAAATCTCACCTTTATCATTAAAGCATCTGGATATTCGGCAGGTGCTCTTATTATTTCTGGAACATTGCATTCTTGACATCTATGTTCAAAAAATTGAACAACAACTAATTTATCACCTGCGTTTTGAATATCTGCATCGAATTCAGCCTTAAATTTTGTTTAAATATTATTTTCTATATATAAAAAAATAACAAAATTGAAATATTTTTGCTCACTATTGTGTTAATATTTTTCCAATCGGGTTGAAGTGAATTTCCAGCAGGATTTAAGCCAACACAAAGGCTGATTAAACTCAGAAAAACGACCAGTTCCATAGTAAATTGAATTATGAATGTAGCGAATATTTGTGATTCTCTATTCTATTTCAACGTCGCATATATATAAAAATGACATCAGTTTGGATTTTCCAGTATAAAACAGATAGCCATATATGTTGCTTTTCTGATAACCCTATATGCTAAGCTTTGAATAATACTCAAAAGTCTATTTTATGAGACGGATTTTTTAGTATTTGATGTTCGTTGGAATTCCCACTTTTTTCAACGTCAAGAAAACGTACACGGTTTGATCATCTTGTTTTTTTTTTAATTAAGAAGCTGATTTAGTCTAAATCAGACATTATATTGAGATATTTTCAGCCAGATGAATCAGCTCAGGCGTTGAAAATGAAGGACAACAATAGATGTTATAGGTATAAAAACACTTCTAATGTTTTTACTCAATTTCAGCGCCTGACGTTAGCTCCCTGAGCTGATTCATCTGGCTGAAAATATCTCAATATAATGTCTTGTTTGAATACATGTTATCTGTTCAGTATTTCAGTTTGGAATAAGGTCGATCTTTGTACATACATTATTAATCAGCTCCGTTTTTAATGGTGTTAAAAAGAATATCATTTCATTTTTAGCACTTTTTTATTTTTATTTGAAAAAACAACTTAGAAATAATCAAAAAAGTGATAGCGAATACACAAAAGTAATGTAACAGCAGTATTTATGATTCATTCGACTCTTTAAGAATACTTATACTAGACTAATTGTCGCACTAGACATACACATGTACTGAATCGTATCATCTATCATCTTCCTTGGCAAATACTTGATGCCAGTTGTAGATTGAAGGTCTCATTGAATCGATTTAAGTCTGATCCTTCAAGCTTTTCGATCGGACAACTTTTTTTAAAATAAAAGACGAATGTCGGCGAGTGATCAACTTCAAACTGTTTCGCCAATTTACCAAATTTGTCAATGTCAACCTAAATAAAGAGAAATTAAAAGAAAACAAAATATGCACACACTCATACAAACTTCAGAGTAAACAATGACAACATTTGAATCTACTCAAATTTCGAACTTTTTGTAGAAAAATTCTCAATTTTGTGTAGACGAATATATATAACTTACTTTAATCATAATAACATTCGGACAGTTTTGAACCAAATTCTTTAAATGTGGTGTAATTTGTTTATTATACTCGCACCATTTGTAGTAAAATACAATGACCATCAATCTTCCATTTGCATTTTTTTCTATTTCTTTGAATTGTTTCTGAAATTTAAATAAAATTAATTGTGAAAAGATATTCGAAAGTTTTACATAGTCGTAAGTGTTTTGTAGTCAAATTCATTGATAATAAGCATATTATCAAAACCAGTTAAAAGTTGTTTGCAGCAAACATTGAACTCATTTCTGACCTTTGTCTTAAGACGTATCCATCTGTTTTCATCAATATTTTTTATGTCTTTAGTATAAAAGTCCGCTGTTTCGTTGACTGTTTCATTTCCAATTTTAAATACACATGTTGGTGATATGTTGGTTGTATTTAAACGATGATTCAGGTCTGTGAACTTTTGATTATCTACCTATAATGATGAAAATTGATATTTTCATCTTATCATTATTGACATTTTAAATTAAAAGATTCGATTATAGTTAATTTTTGGCAAGCATTGTGAATTCGGGTTGAAAATTCTCCGTCCAATAATGTAGAATACAATCACATATGAAATGCTAAAATAATGCAAAGTAACAAATTACCTTCGATAAGACATTTTCTTCTCCGGATTGTAATGGACCAGTTGTGCTCACATAATAGTACAAGCAAAGTAGGCCCAAACTAATGAAAAAACCGAATGAGACCAAGCACACTACTAACTTCATCGTGGTATGAAAGCGGACTGTTTATTTGATCTTGCTTTATTTATTTGTTTCCGTTACTTTTGAAATCGCTTTAATTTGATTATATTGTTACCAACGCAGTAAAAAAAGTTTGGCACACACAAATGCGATTGAAGTAAAAATTTCGCTGAAAAATGCAAACAGGTGAGTGATTTTCTCAAGAATTATCCAAAATCGTTTTAAAATGGCTTGATATTATTTCCAAATTTGGCAGTAATTTTTAATTGATTTTCCCCTTGAATTTAACCAATATCAATGTCCCGGTAATCAATGACCCCAACTAAATTTAAATGCTGATTTTGCTTATCTTTTGAAGCGCTTGTACTTGTAACACAAGCCATTGAATTGAATTTTATATGATACATATAGGCTGTATAAATAATAATTAAGAAAAACATTCAATTTAGCAAACAATGTTACTCTTATATTTGAAGCACAGTATCTTATGATGTTATGCACAATTATTGAAAGTCATTTAACAAATTAATTTAATAAGTTTTTATTGTGATGGTGGTAGTTCATAAGTATCTCAACCGTTTATTCAGGACGTGTTCGAATCGATTCACGTTGGCATCGGTGAATATTTCTAACAAACGGCTAAATCTCAAATAAACAAATGTAGGCGAATATATAACATTATATCGGGCGGCCAAAGCCTTGAATTTATCAATGTCAACCTAAATAGAGAGAAAGCAAATCAATGGAGGCAAAACACTTTTAATTATTGCCTCAATTTGTATTTATATTCTTTGTACTTACCCGAAGCATGATAACATTTGAATACTTCAATGCAAGCAAATCCAATGATGAAACTATTAATTTGGAATAATCGCACCAACTGTAGTAAAATTCAACAACAATCAATCTATCAATAGCATTTCGCATTTCATAATCGAATTGGGCCTGAAAGTATATTCAACAAATCATCACAATTTTAATTCAAGTTTACTACTTGCCATTGAACCAATTTCCAACCACGAATTCGTTCTAGTATGGCCTACACAAAAACAGGAGAGAATCAAACACATGGCTAAATTTACTGCTCTTTCGATTGATCCTTAATTTCAATTTGACTTCATTTTCTGATGAAATGCCCGTATTTATACTCTAAATGTAGATCAATGCAACACTATCATAGTGTCATCATCATTTTGCGTACATTTGTGATATGATGCACTGATATCGCGTGCAACAATTTTATTTTCAAATTATTCATCATTTGCAATTTTAAAAGGCTCTTTATTCATTTTATTTTATAGCGCATTTACTTGTTGTTTTTTAAATGAAAATTGTAGTTTATTCCACTATCTAAAAGTCAACCATGAATCAATTTGCACTCATTTGTTTCGGTTTCAATTTAACATTTTTTGTTTCAATTTGTTTTAAATGTAATGCAATCTATTTCATCGACTATTAGCTGTTTGACAAGTCAATTGTGTACAAAGTCTATCTCAGCAACGAATAATAATTAATTGCCCGAGAATGAAAGCGAGACTTCTATTCACAACTTATTGAAATGTAACACCACCATACAAAATATGCTGACAGTCTGCACTTTTTTTTATGGCGGTGTTACATTTCAATAAGTTGTGAATAGATGTCTCTCTTTCATTCTCGGACATTCAAATAGTTATCAAGTCTAATGTAATAAACAACAATATCTTCAATTTCTTTCATATTTGTGGTTTCAACAGTGTCAACCGCCTCCCCTTGTTTAAAAAAGACGAATGTGGGCACGGAATTGATTTCATATTTCGCAGCCAATTTGGCACTTCCATCAGCATCTACCTGAAGAGCGAAAAAGAAATGCAAATCTGAATGTAGTACATTATGTCAATTTGGTGAGTTTAGAAATTACTTTGATCATGGTGACATTTTGATAGTTTACAGCCAGTTCCTCCAGCTTTGGAGCTATCACTTTACATGGTTACCAGTTTGCATTTTAATATGTATTTAGTTGCGTCTGAAATTTTCCGATGGTTTTAGTAGACAATTAAAAATGCTTAATAAATAACCATTTCTTACCGTATTTTGAACGACTTTCCAATTGCTCTCGAAAGCATCAAGGTTATTGCATAAGCAAAATACAAGCAATAAAATTACCAATTTCATATTGAACAGCAATCTCACAGGTCACAGATGATCAATTGCAATTTGATTAATGATCTAAACCGTAATATTTTCCCCAATATTAATCGGTCAATGATTCATACACGAAGTGCCAACACTGCTTATTATTATTTAAATAAAGACATTCTATTTTTGGCAGTGTACTATTATTAAATAATACATATTGTCTTTTTAAGAGACAATACTATCTAATCAATCAATTTCATGCTAGAAGATAAGAACCGTCTAAGTTCATGGCTTCATTTGATGTTATCATGACGTTGGAATGGTTGCGCATGAAAAAATTAAAAAAGTTATTTATACACTGTCACACGTCCGTACATATTTTGCGAGAGTCAAGCGCAATAAGGGCACACTATATAAACGCCATCTATTAATAACGGACTAACTACAATGTAAATCAAACGTATCTGTTTCCCCTTTTTATTTACTCCCTTCCCCTCTCGCTATACTTTTACATTGTAGTTAGTCTGTTTTACAAAGATGTCGTTTCTGTGTAAGATGTGTGACGTCACAATGTATTTATATGGATAGCGCTCGACTCTCGATATTTTGTATTGGTCATTTCAGCGGTCTTCCGTGTTTTTCATACAAGCCGCCCATGTAAATGGTGAAAAAGTCGCGAAAAATGAAAAAAATAATTAAAATTTTTTCTTCGATTTACAAATACTACTCAGAATGAAGAAAATCACATTTCACACAGAAAGAAAAAATGTGGTATTTTTAATTCAATTTTGGTAGATTTTATATAAAATCAACCAAAAACGAATTAAATTTACCATTTTTGACATCTCTGAGGCATATTTCTCAAAAGAGACTATCAGTTTAATAAGTTTTACCAATTGCTTCATTTCATTCACCAAATTGATGGGCTAGCGTCATCTGTGGTTTCGAAAAGTTGGTAAATGTAATGAAGCAGTTGGTAAAACTTATTCAACAAATAGTCACTTTTGAAAAATATGCCTCGGAGTTTTTCATATAAACTTGCCTTGTGACACCTATTGAATACTATTCAATGAATAGTGAGAATATTGGCATTTCGGGCAACCAATAGAAGTTTGAAATTGGTGAGCAACAGTGAAACATTTCGTAACAAACTGCATCATAACTTAAGCTGCAGTTTGTTTCTCATTATTTTATTGTTGTTCTCTAATTCTCAACTCTTAAATGTTGACATTTGATTTACATTTCAGTTTAGGTTGAAGATTTTTTCTCAACTTTTCTGAGGGTATCTTTGTTTCTCAATGGTTCTAATTTAAGAGCTATTAGTTAGTTATGGATGGCTAAAGTCATTTTATAGTAAACAAGTACAGTTCTTCCGAATCAATATCTAATCATTCAATTACAATGATATGATTACAAATGAAGTGGATTTCAGTGTTAATTTTCAAATCTTTTTTGATTCAACAAAGAAGCCATAAGAAAACCATAGATTTATTGCCTAAAACGATAAAAAACAAAATTCACATATAGTTGGCGCTGCATTCTATGCAAACTTGTTTTCCGTTGCAACGGACTAAGTGGAAAGTATATGCTTATTACATAGAATGTAGCGCCAACTATACGTGAATTTTATTTTTTTATCATTTTGGGCAGTAATCTTATCGCTTCTTTTGATAACTTGATGAACATTTTGAAAACAATTGTTTTAGAAGAGAATTGATTCAAATCAGCTACTCAATATCTATTAACGTGATCATTGTAGGTACCAAATACAAAGCATTACCTTCAAAATATGACATAAATAATCCAAAAATGTCGTAACACGTACACCTACTGGATTTTCCCAGTTCAAGAGCCTGTTGAAATAATAGAGTTTCTCAAGAGTATTGAATTGTTTTATTTTCTTTACAACATTTCTTTCTGATGAGTAATTATCCAAGTGGTAGCTTCACGGAACGAAGAAAGTAAAAACGCAGAAACACTAAAATGCAGAAAAATAAACGCAGAAAAAATAACACAGAAAAAAAATCGCAGAAAAAAAAACGCAGAAAAAATAAACGCAGAAATCAAAAATGCAGAAAAATAAACGCAGAAAACCAAAAATGCAGCAAAATAAACGCAGAAAACCAAAAATGCAGAAAAAACGCAGAAAAATGTAAAATAGATAGATAAACCGTGATGGTTGACCTCAATAGCTGTGTTAAATGTTGTTACACTAAGATGGACATGTCAGTCGAGATCTCATTTTAAATTCCTAAGATTTTTAAGACAAAAATATTTTTGTTCAGTCTATCAAAAAAAGAAACCTCTGTCGAGATGAAGAACGAATGACGAAAACAAAAGAAGCCTTAAGAAAACCATAGATTTATTGCCTAAAACGATAAAAAATAAAATTCACATATAGCTGGCGCTGCATTCTATGCAAACTTGTTTTCCGTTGCAACGTACTAAGTGGAAAGTATACGCTTATTACATAGAATGTAGTGCCAACAAACAAATTTTTGTTTCCGTCATTCGTTCTTCATCTCGACAGAGGTTTCTTTTTTTGATAAACTGAACAAAAATATTTGTGTCTTAAAAATCTTAGGAATTTAAAAAGAGATCTCGACTGACATGTTCATCTCAGTGTAACAACATTTAACACTGCTATTGAGGTCAACCATCACGGTTTATCTATCTATTTTACATTTTTCTGCGTTTTTTCTGCATTTTTGGTTTTCTGCGTTTATTTTGCTGCATTTTTGGTTTTCTGCGTTTATTTTTCTGCGTTTTTGTTTTCTGCGTTTATTTTTCTGCATTTTTGATTTCTGCGTTTATTTTTTCTGCGTTTTTTCTTGTGCGATTTTTTTTCTGTGTTATTTTTTCTGCGTTTATTTTTCTGCATTTTAGTGTTTCTGCGTTTTTATTTTCTTCGTTCCGTGAAGGAACCATCCAAGTATATGTATTATTACCTCTTCTCATAAAATCATAAATAGTGTTTGCTTTTCTGTAAAAAAAAAATAATACTATAAATGAAAATCACTTGTTTTGCGGGAGAAATTTTTGCTTATTTTATTTTGGCTGGATATTTTCATATAATTGAAATACGTCGTTAGTTTTCGTTTGAGATAGGCCCAAAATTCACGAAATGAACTTTTCTGTGTCTATGTAAATTAGTAGCCATTTATAAGTTATGTTTTTCTTTTTAATAAAATGTTAGAAGTTGAATGCGTATTTTTGGTTCATATTTTTTTCTTTTTGGTGTTGTTCACGTTCCTGGTTAGATATACTGATAGTAATCGAAAGATCGCTATATTCAAATACATTTTACCACTCCATTTAACTTCTTGTTCAAGTTCTTCTTTTAGCTTGAAGTGAACTCGTTTTAACTGGCTAAAATTAATAGAGTTTGATTCTTAATGTTTACCTCCTTCATTACGAGTAATTTTCAAATTGTATGAATGTTAATTGATTTTTAAGAATTATCACCACAGATCGATATGCTTAATGCTTATTCACAGAAAATTTCAAAAGGAAACGAAAAATCTTGTTTAAATTCAATTTTAAAATGCTACGGATCGTTTGTTGAGAAAGTGCCCCACAGTGATTTTTGATGTAAAAATGTGTTTGATAACCATTTGCATTGAAATTTATCGAGGATTGTTAGAGTTTTCATTTAGCTACATTAAACGACGTAAGATATTATGTATGTTAAATAGGAATGTTGTTCCAATAGAGGTCTTTTGTGGGTAGAAAAATCACTTTACCATACAATGTGACTCATCAAAATTAATCAATTTTTGAAACGTCACATATTCGATTTATTTATTTTTATTCCACAAACAGTCCATGGTTTACAAACAGTTTTTAACTTCAAAGAGAAGAGAAACTTTTTAGGGTGTGCATAAAAAATGACTATTGTAAAGAAAAATGGATTTTCCCACAAAAGACCGTCTCTGGTGATAGATGAGCCTTGATTATTTTGATGTACAATATTATATATACGTACGTTTATTGGTTTTGTAAAAGATACAGCAAATCACGTGGCGCTCTAATTTACTATAATTTGAATGATTAAGTTCAATTTGTGTGTGTGTTTCAGTTGTTTGGATATTCAGCGTTACGTACATATGTAATTGATATTCAATATAACATGTTTCATTTGACTTAAGCCCTAAACTTCAATTATTTCATAGATTTATGTTTCATTTTATACAATTTCTTCATATGTTTCGCTCTAATTAGTATTTCTTCATCATAATTTTGGGTTTGTTTTAAAATTTTCCTTTAAAAATATTAATTGAGCAATATTTATACATTCATATGTAAAAAGAAAAAAAATTGGTTAAAAATAAACAAATATTCTTTTTGCTACCACATTCTAATCACTAAAACACATTCGAATGTTTATAGTACAAAGTCAGTCCAATCCATTTTCAGTAAAAAAAATCACTCACTCCACATAAAGTCAATGGAGGAAAATCGATTTTTCATTTTTTTAATGTGTAAAATATAAGTTTGAAAACTTCTTGGTAGTAAAAACCTAAAAGGAAAAAAGAATGTCGAACTTAAAATCATTTTGCATTAGTTGACGTTGTCTTTTTTGGCATCGAAACTGAATTAATTGTATCGCATTTTATCGTCGAAATAACTTAAGAAATTTTACTGATTTGATTTCATCGATAATTACATTTTCGTATTAAGATCACATTTTACTGTAAATGAACTTAAACGAGTTTATCATCTTAGAATTTGCTGGGAAATGTGTGTTCGAAACAAATTGATTGATATTAAAGCAACTATGATCATCATCATATTTGAAGCCCATTGATATGAGTTTGCATTTCCGTGCGCTTGTTCGGCCATTCCTATGGTAGCAAGAAAATTGAATTTCATCACATTTATTTTGTTTCCTTTTCAATGTTATTCGACATAAATTATTCAAATCAAACTTACCACCAATGATATTAACTTGATCTGCGTCGGATTCAGATGTGCCTGGATGTATTTTAATTTCTGGCAGAAAAAACAAAGAAAGTTTAGTTGAAACTATGTAATTGAAGAATGAAAAACTTAAAAAGAAGAAAAAGAAGAAGAAATGTACTACCATAAAGTCGCAATGTTCCTTCTGCACGTCCCAATGAATTGGTTGACACACAATGATATGTACCAACGTCATTTGCCGAAAACGAGCGAATCGTTAATCGCATAATCCCCTTATAGCCAGTCCTTTGCTCGGTTATTCCATATTTCGGTCTAAATCAAATCACATAAAGGGAAACCATTAAATGTCTGAAACCTTTTGTGTAGCAATAAAATTATATGCATTTTACAAATTACCCATCAAGTAACATTTCGGGTCGTGGTTGACCGATTTCTGCATTGTTCAAACTATTCCCCAATGAGTTTTGTAATTTGCCTCCTTTGAGCCAATAGCTCACCGGTGCAGGACTTGACTCGACCTTTAATGGAAGAAGAATCAAATGATTTTTTTTTCTATTTTGTACTATCTATTGATTTGTTGCCAGTTGTTTGAAATAGGCTTATGTTTTATGGGCACATTTTCATGAACTTGATGGTGACACATCAAACTTTCATAAGCACACAATTCAACATTTAAACATATACTTTAATGTAGTTTTAATTACACACCTGACAATTCAATTGTACATCCGAACCCAATGGTGCTCCCAACAATTGACTAGGTGCGCGAACTGATGGTGCAACTGCATTTAAATTTATAAAGTAGCAAATAAAATTGTCACCATGAAGAAAGTTTTAAATTAAATATGAATGGATAAAAAATAATCTACTTACAATGCACACTCAATGAAACACGCTTTGAAACTGCAGGCGGAACGTCATTGGAGGCAATGCACAAATATGAACCTGTTTGACAATGGGATGGAAAGACTAGTTCATTGCAATGCCAAAATAATACCAACTTTATTTATTCATCTCTGTCGTAAATACATGTGTCAGTTGAAAACAGTCGACGATGTAAATTCCGCATCGTCGGTTGTTTTTACAATTGTTTACCTTTAGCGATATGGGTCAGCGATTTCGTTGGCCCACATTGAAAGAAATAATATTGTAGAGATATCTGTAAAATCAATACAAACCCATTTGTTTGCGCTCAAGTCTCGACAGCCGAAGAACGGATCCATTATACGATTCAACTGTTGTATGATGATATGAAAATGAAAGCATTTAGACTCATTGTGTATATATATGACATTATAGATTTAAAGTTAGAACTAAGCAATTTCTTTTTCATTGACAAAGAGCATGAAATTGAACATGAATTAATAATGACCTTTCATTAAATCACGGTTGCCTTGTTTACGAACATAAATGTAGTCACCGTCTTCCTTTTTCCATGTTACTCGCGGCTGTGGATCGTGAAAAATATCGAAAAGTTACAAAAAATGTAATACGGAAAATCTTACTAAATACAAAATGTTCATCCTTACTTGTGGATTTCCAGTTGCTCTACATACCTATTATTTAAAAAAAACGAAACTTAATTAAAATGAGAAAAAAGCATGTGTTCTCTTATTAATTGCCAACTTTTTTCTTTTAAAAATAACAGTTTGTTCATCAATTTTTCATATCATCTCATCAACGAATTCGAAGCGTTCGATTGTTGTTGTATTTTCGATAGCAAAGCGAAAGAGTATCCTGAACCATACGTACGTAATATTCATTTAATACTTACTAGTGCTGCATCTTCACCCTCTTGAACGGCCATGTCAACCGATGAATCTTCATTTATTATGTCCGGTGGTACTGGGGGAAAAAAGCAAATATTAATTTACCAAAAACAACAACCGAAGTAATGATTACCGAACCAGTATGCTATATAATCTGATATTTTGAATAAAATATATGAAGACCAACAGAAACACCAAAATCAATACTTTTTCGAACCAAAAATAGTTTAAATATAATTTTGTGGTAACTTCTTTTTACTCCGTTTCAATTTCATACACTCCCCTCGATGTTAACTAACAATCAATGTTAACGACTTACAAATGAAATTAAGACCAAAATGTACTTACTTTGAACGTCGATGCATCCGATTTGCTTCTTCATTGGGCTTGAATTTATTTGGCACATATAGCACGCTTTATCCGTTTCACGCAGTTGTTTGATTCTGAGACGCCATGTTATATAGTTTTCATGACTAACACTAATTCGTGCATTATGCGTTACAACACGATCCTGAAGGGCTAATACAGTTTGATCTGCTGCTCGCAGCCAACCCACCTTGAATGGAAATACAAGAGATGCACAGATGAGAACGAGAGAAACTAATAACAATCGTAGTATATACACACACACACTAAATGACTACAAGTGTTTGGGATTTCAAAAACATAAAGCCGGATTTATTGTGATATGGAGTGTACCAACAATCAAATCTCGTCGCGTTGATGTGTGGATATAGCTATTAAAAGGAATGCATGTCAACAAATACAAATTCACATGCACACACATAAACACACTTTATTCGATTTTCGGATTTACGATTTTCAAGCATTCTCTTGCATTAACCCATGAAGCAATAATACATAATATTTATAACACTTACTTTGTATTTGCCCAAATTCTTGACGGAACATGTTAGAACTGCTTCTCTACCAACCGGGTATGTCACATTGGATATTGATCCTATAAACTCTGGCTCAAATTCAACACCTTGATTGATATCTGCTCGAAAACATCGCCAACAATCCAACAAATAGAAAAGAAACAAAACAAAGAACAATTTGACATAAAAACGAGCAACCAACGAAAAAATAAATAAACTGAACAAAGAGCGTTTATATCGTAAATCTTTCGACAAAATCAAGCAAATGGGGATGAGGTGAAACAACCAAGCAAACGACTTTGTTGCCGTCATTGCTGCCACTCTTATTTTAGTCGACAAGTCTCATCTGTTTTGTATGGGCAAACATTATCACAACTGTTATGTTAGAATGTAACAATCGTACGCACGCACGCACGCACCCACATATAACACTATAGTGTGTAGCATTCGAAATTGCTAAGACGATTAGAAGTCATAAACTTATCTTAAAGATCTCAATTAAAGTGATAAGCTCAACGAAGTGGGAGAATGATGAAAAAAACGAGCTGTTTGCGTTGTTCCGGATTAATTTATCGCCTCAAAATGCGCTAATCAATTATTTAACGCTTAAATAGTCTCACACTTGCTTCGAAATTATTTAGCTATAAACGAAAACTTTTCTGACTCACGCCAGCATTGCACGAACTTTTCTAAATTGAATAAAAAAAAACTTTTCAAATCCAAAAGTATTAAAAAGTACGAATCCCATCCACAGCGAAAATGGTGGACACACAATCTGAGCGCCCATTATCATCGTTGAGCTTTAACAACAAAAAAACGACGTGGAAATAAAGAGAGTGAGACAACAGTTAACGTAATTCTCATGTTTGAAATCACCCTATCTTAATTTTTAACATCTGCTTCTTCCTCCCACTATATTCTCTTGCTCGTTCTCTGTCTCTGACATCGTTTGTTTGCATTGGACTCTTCCGAATAAAATTTATCACGCAAGCCGAAAGTTCATTAAAATAAAGAGACAGAAAATGAGAGCAGACACACACACAACAGAAACAAAAAAAAAACTGAAGAACTGGGAGCAACATGATAAACGTTTTAACTTTGTGTGGAATCAAAAATCCATACTGTCGGTATCGAATTGAATCTTCAAGTGGTTACATCAAATAATTATTTGCAGCAAGCCATTCTGCTATCCAAGCGTTTTCTCTCATCGTTTGGCCTTTTTTCCTGCAACCTCAATTCTCTTTATCTCATCTTATGTATATGTGTGTGTGTGTCTATCCCCCTCTCTCTCCCTCTCTGTCGCTTTCACTGTTCTGTCCTTTCTATGCTCATGCAATAGTAGTCTGTGTGGAGTACCGTAAATCATAGAAAAGTTCGACGTAATGCCAAAAATAAACGACTAAAATGAACATTTAAAACATCGAACAAACGACAGATACCAGGATAGCGAGGGAAAAGTAAAAAAAACGTGCAAACAAACCGAATGACCGAACCAACAAAACAAACTAAAAACTCAGCACCGAAGTTGATTGTTGTTTGCCCCCATCACCACCTCCACCATATTATACTGGCGTATGCGAGAAGTGAACGGTGAGAGTATATGTGCATGTGGTGATATTGTATTTTATAAATTGCGGTCAAAGAGCGAAACGGCCATCGAGCATAACATCACCATTTATCTGATGGCTAAATACGGCAAGATATATCATTTATATATCGCACTCTCGCGAGCGCTTTCGCTCGGCCAAAAAACCAGACAACCAAACTATGTTGGCTAATGTGAATAATATGAACAGTAATTTAAATGTCATCAAGAACGCCATCTAAGCGGCATACGTACACATTTCAAAATTAAATCACATAAGAATATACCATTTATTTGTTAACGAACATCATCGCGCCACGGTAATTCAAATATTCAAGATTCAAAAAATTGTATTTTCATTCGGTCATATTTTGAGAATCCCGAATTTTGCCCGTACAGCTGTTTTTGAAGAACAGTAAGGACCACTTCTAGTATATAAATTTCGTGATAAGAAGAAGATGAAGAAGATATCATGTTTTATTATGTAAGAATGCACCTACTTGTCATAGATGGTGCTCATTCGTAATTGTTTATATTGTTACTGCCTGTCAAGTTGTTTCATTGAATTCGCAACACATGGAATTTATACACGACAAAACTGTATATATGTTCATTTTCCAAAAAGACTATGCGAATAGGTTCTCTTGAGGTACGAAACATGGTTGTTCCACAAACTATAAAATACTAAAAAGCAGTTTTGCCTTATCCAGTTCGGTGACGATGCCATTTGTGTTTACTTTTTCATTTGGCTCATTTTTCTTATGCTATTTTTTTCTCATCTACACCACACATGCACATTGGGAAATGAAACATATCGCACAAAATAATTTGTTTGTCATGTGCTGTTGTGTACGTCCAGTATATATATATTTTTTCATTCATTTTGTGTGTATTTCGCCACTTAATAGTTGTCTTTGCGGTACTTAAACTTTTTGAAATTGACGGTGGTTGCGATACCATTTGTGTTTAAATAACGTTCTATCTTGTGCTGCATTGGTATTTTCGCTTTTCATGTAATTCGCCGATTTCATAGCACAAAATAAAATAATATCTTTTGAAAAAATTTATGAAATTGGAACACGAGAAATTAATTGATGTTTTCGCATCGCTTTGCTTTAAATCTTCTAATTATTTCAAAGTAACAAGAATTTCAAGAGCGGATGGATCCAATTACGCTTCAATTCAATATTGAAAAGGGCATCAATGTCTCGTATATATCACATTTTGCCATTTCGCGGCAAAATATTTTCCATCAAATAATTCTGTTTATGGTTTCGATTCAATCATCGAAATGCATCGTATCGTATCGATATTCCGTTCAAATGTTTGTGTGCATGAAGCATGCCGACGCAGTGCAGCGGCAGAACGGCAGCGGACACAAGCAAATGAGAAATTTATCTGTTTATTGTTATACAGTAAAATAGATAGAGATAGAGACAGAAAATCAAATCAACTTACCCTGTAATGTTTGTGATGATATTTGATAGCATTTCGTTAGAAGGTGTATTAAAACGATGGATAAAACCGTCGCGCTCATGTTTGATGAATGAGATGCGATCAGCAATGAAATACGATGAAATCTGGTGCACTTCACTCTCGCAATTTGTATTTTATGTGCGCCGTGTATGCTTTTTTCCCGTCTTTGCTCTGCTCTCAATTCGATCAACGCCTCTCAAAATTGCTGCGCTCCAATGGTTTCCGGTTTCTTTTGTCTTCAATTTATCTCTCCCTTTTGCTCCGATGTCGCCCCGTTGCCGTTCGTTATTTTAAGTTCCGGCAGTTCGGGTTTTTTTTTGTGCTTTTTGTTGTGGTGCTCGTTCTCTCTTCAATCCAAATTCCTTTCGAGTTTATTGAATTTCCTTATGATCTTCGTGCAACATGCATGTGCAATGTGATTTTATTATTTTGTTCACGACTTTTCAGAATCTCACGTTTATGTCGGTTGAGCATCGGAGACGAACGTTGTACACTGTAACTGTTTATACGTAAACGGAAATCTTGAATTCATATATGCTGCAAATAGATTGGTGTTGTTCTTTCTGCAGAGAGCGAGGGATGAGAGAAAGAGAAAAGAATAAATAAAATACACAACACAAAATTTTATAAATAAACGCATTTCCATAGTTATTATTATTATTATTACAGTGTTTCAAGTTGCTGACTGTAAGAATAGATAAAAAATGAAACAAACACAATGTAGCAAATCGACGACGAGGAGGACAACAACGTTGTACATGTGCATGTTGTCGTTCCATACATTCCGGTTGTACATTTTTAATTTGAAATTCCAACGGCACAACAATATTCGTTTACATTCGAAACATTTAACATAGTTTCATGTTTAAACTATTCATAATGTTGTATTTGTAGACGTATGCGTTCGTGATGTCGAAAAAGAGAGAAATCGGGCCGGCGACTAAACTTTGTTTGCATTAGATGAAGCTTCTGTTGCTGCAGTTTGTCGTTGTTTTGCTTCATTTCGTTCTTTCTAACGGCAATGATAAAAATATACATACAAACAAAGCAAACCGTCGGACGAACAAAGTAAACAAACATGAAATAGCTCAACATTTTGAACGTACATTTTGTGGATCACAAGCAACAATAACAATAATAGAAAAAACAACAACAATGACAACAGTGACGTCAGTAGTGGTAGCAGCACTACCAATGGAAACAGTGGCAGCAATACTTGTAACCGATTGTGAAAACGGCAAATATCTGGTGATTGTAATTATTTAAAAGTACAGAGAGAGAGAGAGAGAGAGAGAAAAAGATATGCCAAAAGAAGCGCCCAGTAATATTAAATTGGCGATAGCAAATTATAAATACTAAAATTGAAAGAGAAGTGAGATAAAAAATGAGAGAGAACGGATCCAGAGCAAAAATTGCAATCAAGAGATTTTGTGAAATGGTGGTGGCGGCGGTAAAGGCACACAACAAATGCCATTTTCATGTAACACAATGTTTTATGTTCAATCAAGAAATGCACGAATCTTCACTCATTTACAAAAATATACGCAAAGTACCATTCTATCCGTTATTCATTTGGCTGATGGTGTGCGCTATTTTTCTCTTCTTTTGCCTCTTGTACGCGCTTTCTCGCTCTCTCTCGCTCCAATAGAATCCACAAGCAAACATTCAACCGACCGTCATTCATATCTCAGCAGTAGAACGCGCGAGAGCTTTTATTATTGGATTGTCGAGGATAACCTTTTGTGTGCAAATGTGGATGTATTGTGTGTATGCTGTTTTTCAACATTTTCAACAGCAATAAAAACTGAAACAGCTTTAGCGAGAGATATACCGCATGAAAAATGATAAAAATATGGTGAAGAAAGTGTGCTCTATGTGGCATGACTAACAAACCACTGAAATGTGTATATCACTCGTTGAGGCGCTTAGCATTGAAGAGTCAGCCAGAACAATAGTTTTGGGCCTAGAGAAAAAAAATGCAGAAGAAGAAAAATTGATGTTGGTGTCGTTGGTTGTGGCGATGATGCGCTTTTCGAAATAACTGAAAGACTTTGTTCTGTTCACATCAAACAAAAAAAAACTAAACACACACAAAAAGGAAGAGAAAAAAGGTCGACCGTATGTTATGTGTAGTTTTTATTCATTTGCTTTGGCGTTTGACTGCCACTTTGTCGATGTCTCTGTGTTACCTCTCCCCTTTTCTCCTTCTTTTATCTGGATTTTGTTTTTTATCCATATTTTCGTGAAATAATTTGAATGAGAGCAAACACGACGAGAGGCAACGCTAATATTTTGTATAAATATTTTTTGAAAGGGCAAAGATTGTTAGTTTTTAGTTTTTTGTGCTTTCTCGGTCTGCCTGTTCGTTGTTTTTCCTCTCTATCTATCTCTTATGTTCGTCGAGTGGATTCTAATTTTTCAATTTTTCTTTTGACCACTTTGTCTTTTTACATTCTGCTTTTGAATTTATGCCACTGTTTCTCTCACACATTTACCCACTAAACATGAACTACAAAATAAATGCAATCAATCTTTCAGTGTCGTTGGCACAAGATTTTCCAACATTTTCATTCACACACAAACAAAAGAGCACCAAAGCCTAGAGAATTGAGAGAAGGAGAATGATAGAGAAAGAGAGCAAATGAGATCCCGAAAAAGGTGGTTTTTCGTTTAGAAACATTTCCCTTGGCATGTCTTTGAATCGAGTCACGCTTCGAAAGGCTGACAAAGGTGCACATAATGAGAGATTTAAGTTGATTGAGTAGAATGGCTCCGGTGCTTTTTGAAATCACGATACGATCTATTCAGCAGTGAATGCCACCATCACCACTACCACCACCACCGCCAAGACCATATAACTTCAAACAACATAAGAGCAAATATGCTCACTTTAATTTATTATAACGCCAAACCGAATAGATGCTTCCAATTTGAAATATGTTTTGGTATGTGCATGTGTACTGGTTATGTTTTTAATGTATGTTTGGCAAAAGGATTTGTATGATTTCAATATTTCAAGCAATGGCAAAATCAGATGTATTTTTCTTTTAATATCAGTTGCATTTTGAGCATCCATCGATTCAAAGAATGTCACTAAATGACAAAGTGTATTAGATGAAGGAATGTGACCAGAAAATTTTGTTATTTTTTGTTCACAATATGAGAGTGCCTGATTTTCAGAATCATTCCCCATTTCCAATCAACTTCCGACATTCGGAGCAGAATCAAATATTCTGTTGTTGGTCGTTCTACGTGTTCGACGAATATGGAATGCTAGACGGAATGTATGTCGGTATGTGTATGTTTCTAATGTGAGTTTGGGGCACATTTACGAATAAGAAAAAAATTTGAGGCAAAGCCACGGATTTCGTTGTATGTACGTTTTCAATCAGGATCTGTGTTGAGAATAATAAGAAATATGCACATTCACCGATTTTACCCGATAAGAAATCAACATGTAAGCATTAAACTGACGGCATAATACATTCCGTACCACATCACATCGCACGTATTCTGATTGAGGCTTCAATTCGAATGAAGAAAAAAACGAATGCCTTCCACCGAAATCGAAAGGATCGTTTCGGTGTTGATTATATATGTGATGAACTGATGTTACCACACGTTCATGTTGTTTTTTTCTTATTTGTCGGTGGTGCATTGTACTTCACGTTAGCGAAAAAAGAGCGATTTCTTTTCGACGAAACATCATATAAGCTTTTGTTATATATTATAAATTACAGCGGTCGTTGCCTTTTTTAGTTGTGCGACTCAAAAACGAAGTAAAAAAACACGAACGTTCGTTGTATAATAATAAAAGCCGATCCGAACATTCTACTGTCAACTAAATATACAATTTTTTTTCTTTAGTTCCATTTTATTTATACATTGACTCCATCAATTCTGTATTATATATGATCTGCTTTTAATTCGCCGCATTTCTCTTTCACTTATTTTAGAGAAGAATTCAAAAACTGAAACTTTTCTGTCCAAAAACAAGGGTTATTTTATAGAACATGAAAAAGCACTCAATTTCTTTTTTCGTTTCGATTTTTATTGCGATATATTCAGACCATTCAATGTGGATGTGGCTTAAATATCAAAATCTAAAGATTTGGACATTATTTCAATAAATACATATATCCTCACAGCAAAACTGAGAGAGAGAGAGAGAGAGAGAGAGAGAGAGAGTGAGAGAACAGAAGCAGAGTGATAGCAGAATATTTTGTTCACTTTTTTTAAGTTTGTGGCAAAATGGTCAACGCATCAGTAACTCCCTTCTTTTTATGAGCTCTCAGCAAAATTCAATTAAATCGAACTAAAAAGTAGTTAAATTTGCACTTTAACTCGGGTCATTTTTTAATGTGATGGCGAACGCTCGAAACAAAGAAATTCATCAGACGATGTGCGACATCATGGTTTTTTTTAACAATTTCAGCGTGTGTTAAAATGTGGTGATGGTGAACAACGCAGACACTTTACAATGAATGAATTTAGCTTTTTACATACACTGAAAATCATTCACAAAAGTTAGTGCTTCAAATTCAACCAGCTTTTAACATTTCATGTGACACTCTTACGAATGCCTGCCTGACCGCAAAAGGCAGCAGAAACAAAGACAAAAACTATTCTGAATTGTATAAATTGTATGTCTGACAGCAACTTTTGAATAGAAAAAAGGGATATTATGCATTTAAATAAAGGATGACGATGAGATTGTTTCCTCACTTCCATTTTCACTTTTCGGTAAGAAATTTGATGAAATATTCGTGTGTGAAAATGAAGCAATTGATATGATTATTTTCATAGTGTCAATCCTTATTAAACTAATTTCTAGTTGTGATCACAAATTACATCTTTTCGAATTAGAGTTACTTGCTGGCTATCACAAAAACTTTATCAATTCTTAAAAATTTCGAAAAATCGGAGGATTTCATACGAGTATCACTTGCGTTGTATATTGACAATGTATTTGAACGCGACTCGATTTAAGAAGCGCCATCTCTTTCACGCCAGGTTCTCATATATTTTTTTTAAATGAATTGGCGTATTTGCATTGCTTTGGTTTATTGTGGTAAAATTGTGAGTTTTTGTGTTACTTTTATTAATATTTAGGCAATTATTTTGATATTAAAATTATTTTTCATGTTTTTAATTTTGTTAATTCTTATATTTTCATCAATTACAGATTTTGGCGTGAATGCGACATGAAATCAATTTACAAATGTGTTTTTAGTCCAGGAAGTCACATCGGCAACCAATCAGTATCAAAAATCAAATCATCTTATACAGAATTTAACGCTCTTCAAAATGATAATAGCCACTTTTTAATATTTTTCATGTGGAAACACCCTACTGAGTAGTCAATCATTTTTTTTTTTCTAGTTTGGTATTTTAGATGTAAAAATTGAATCATTACCGTTTTTGTACGAATGAACAAGTACACACAAAAAAATTTGCGGAAAAATTTAATGTAAAAGCGGTTACTGAGTAGTGTGTGGTTAAATTTAAAGGCAATGCGGTTAAAATTTCGTCATTTGGATTCTTTAATATTAGAATTCACCGC